AACATTCGGTGCAGTGTATTTTTTGGTCTTACAGTGTATTAGGTCTTTTGGGTAGATGCCCAGTAATGGGATTTCTGGATCAAATGGTAGATCATTGTATCGCCTTAATTCCTACATTTGCTTGCACAGGAGGTAATAGGTTGCAGTCCACTGCCAGTTTAGAGTGTCCTCTCTCTCTGGATCCATGCCACATTTTTTGGAGCTTTTGGATAAAGGCCATTATCACTGGATAAGTGATATCTCATTGTGGTTTGTAGATTGCATTTCCTGATGATTAGAGATGTTGAGGTTTTTCATAATGTTTGTTGGGCCATTCTTCTGTCTTATTAGAAGTTTCTGTTCAAGTCATTTTGCCACTTTCAATAGGGGTTATTTGATTTTCTTGATTTTCGTGAGTTCATAAGTAAATTCTAGTTATCAGCCCTTATCAGATGTAGGATGCCAAAATTTTTCCCATTTGTGGTTGTCTGTTTACTTTATGACTATTCTTTGGCTGTGCAAGAAGCTTTTCAGTTTGATCAGTCCGCATTTAATTTATTGTTTGTTGCTGCTGTGATTGCCTTTGGGGACTTCATTCATAAACTCTTTGCCTAGGCAATGTCCTAGGAGGTGTGTTCCAACATTGTGCTTCTAGGGAGTGTTTAATACTCAGTACTTAGGTTGAGAGTCTGTTATCCAGCGTGATTTGATATTTTGGAGAGGTGAAAGGTGTGGGGTCCTGTTTAGTTTGCTAAAGTGGCTATCAGTTTTCCCTGCAATTATTGAAAGGGATTTCTTTTCCTAGTATATGTTTTTGTCTGCTTTGTCAAAGATAGATGGCTATATGAGGATGTATTTATATCAGGATTCTAGGATCTGTTCCATGGTCATATATGTGTCTCCTAGGCCTGATTATTACTAAGCTGTTATGTGTTATGGTTACCCCTATTCGTTATAGTAGATATGGGTCCATATAAGTAATATTCTAATCTTAGAATGCTGAGTGGGATCTTAATAGGTTTGCATTGATCTGTAGATCGTTTGGGGTAGTATAGACGATTTTAATGGATGTTGGAGTCTGCCGACACGAGCATTGGTATGGCATCTCCATCTGTTTACATCCTTTGCATTTTTTCTTCAGTGTTTCATAGTTCTCCTGTAGACGGTCTTTCATCCTTGGTTAACAGTATATTCGTAGGTACTTAATTTCTTTGTTGCTATTGTGAAGGGAATTGAGTCTTGATTTGGTTCTCAATTAGATTGTTGTTGGCGTATATTGAATGCTCTGTGTTCTTGTGTATTGATTTGTATTCCTGAGACTTACTAAACTCATTTATCAGTTCCAGGAGTTTCTTGGTTGAATCTTTGGGGTTTTCTAGATATAATATCATATCATCAGCAAACAGTGAAAGTTTGATCTCTTCTGCCCCTATTTGGATACCTTTACTTCCACTTTCCTGTCTGATTGCTCTAGCCAGGACTTCCAGCACTATGTTGAATAGAAATGGAGATAGTGGGCAGCCTTGTCTGGTTCCAGTTCGAAGTGGGAATGCTTTCAATTTTTCCCCATTCAGAACAAATTTCTAGAAACACACAGCCTCTCTAGACTCAACCAAGAAGAAATAGATTTCCTGAACAGACCAATCTCAAGAGCTGAAGTAGAAACAGCAATTAAAAATCTCCCTAAAAAGAAAAGTCCTGGTCCAGATGGTTTCACACCAGAATTTTACCACTCCTACAAAGAAGAACTAATACCTATCTTGTAGAAACTATTCCACAATATCGAGAAGAACGAAAACCTCCCCGACACCTTTTATGAAGCAAATATTACTCTGATACCCAAACCAGGAAAGGATGCAACAAAAAGAGAAAACTACAGACCAATTTCCCTAATGAACATAGATGCAAAAATTTTCAACGAAATCCTAGCTAACCGAATCCCAACGCTTATCAAAAAAATAATCCATCACGACCAAGTGGGCTTCATCCCAGGGATGCAGGGATGGTTCAACATACGTAAATCTATAAATGCAATTTGCCACATAAACAGAAGCAAAAACAAAGACCACATGATTCTTTCAATAGATGCAGAAAAAGCTTTCGACAAAATTCAACACCCCTTCATGATACGAACACTTAAGAAAATAGGCATAGAAGGAACATATCTAAAAATGATTCAAGCCATATATGACAGACCCATACGTTAGATACTCTTATACTATCTTCCCTGTCTTTTAACCTTTTAAAAAAAATTTTCCTATCACTTTGTCTCTCTGCCTGGCATCATAAATAATTCATCTGATCTTTATTCTAGTTCATACTCTTAGGCTGCATCTAATCTGTGGAGAGTCCATGGAGTATTTTTATTCAATTATTTTAGTTTTCATTTCTGCAAGTTCTGTTTGGTTCTTTATTCAGGTTTGCTAAATCATTTGTTATAGTGTCCTGTGCCAGGAGTATATTTTTAGCTTATTTTGTATTCCTTTTAACATAATAAGCATAGATTTTAAAAATATTTAATATTTGAAGTTCTTGTGGGTCTATTTCTGCTGACTGTCATTCATAGTGCCTTGTTTCCTTGCTGACTTAGTTAATTTTGGCTGTTATTTTCTCATTTTCCTTGGAAAATTATTTGCGGAACTTCTTTGAGGTCTAGGATGAAAATAGCTGCTCCAAGGAAAATTTGTGTTTGCTTCAAAGGCACCTGAGACCATCACCAGTTTGGGAAAACTTTAAACTGAATTCTACTTGAGAGTTTTTTTTTAAATTTAAGTTTTTTGTTTATGTATGTTGTGGCAATATATATATATATATATATAATATAAAGTTTACCATTCAAATCATTTTAGGAGTCTGGTTTGAAAGTTTTTATACCCTCCAGTAGATGTCGATGTAAACTTCGATTTCACTGAACAGGTTTTTGTTTGCAGCTTATTAACCAACCCCCCTTCCCCAGGTCTGCTCAGCAGTGCAACTTTCCTTGCAGCCTGTCATATAGGTGGGATGGGAGAAAGGTTTCTCTATTCACTGAAGCCAGAGTCCTTTGGATTCTTAGGTTTGTGGGAGGAGGGTTGGGCAAGGATCCTCTGTTAAAAGTCCTATGTCTTCTGTGGCTTTCAAAATCTCAAAAACTGCAGTTTCAGATCACCTGATTGGGAAGTGCCCTCTGGGCAAATGCAACTTCAGGGTCTACTTTATCTCTCTGAGAGTCTGCCAATACTTTGAGATTTATATGATTACTTGTTACTGTTTTATCAACCCTCTTATACTTTTAAGAAGATATTTTTAATATTTTATTCAGCATTTGTAGTTTTCTAGTGGACAGACTGGTTCTAATAACCTAGATCAGGCATCCTCAAACTATGGCCTGCGAGCCACATGCTGCTGCCTAGGACTGCCTGTCCTGCTTAGCAGCTGACTCATCCCGGGCCCACAGTGCACACTCTCCAACTGTCTGAGGGACAGTGAACTGGCCCTCTGTTTAAAAAGTTTGAGGACCCCTGACCTAGATGCCAAATTACTGAAAAACTGAGCCTGTCCTCTTAACTATTATACTATGCTAGGACAACGGGCTTGCATTACCTTTTCTTGTTTCTCAGGGGAAGACATTTACAAATATACTTTTAAGAAGTCTCAGACAGACTCTGATCTCAACCATGGGAAGAGACACCATAAAAGGACACCTAGAATCTTAGGAGTGGGAAAGCATGGGATTATTTTCAAATTAGCAAAAGAATGCATAAATTTTAAAGGTTACATAATAATGGCATTGTGGTACAGAGCTCAGGGTTGAGAGAGAGTGTCAAGTTCAGACAATGGTATACATTTTACCAAAATGTTAAAGAACAGAGACTGAAGAGGATATTAGATATCCTTTAATATTGGATATTTAGATAACCTGCATTTGATTAACTGGATTATTTGGATTTCATATTGGGTATTGGATTACTTTTGGTAATGTAATTTCAGTAGAGTATTGTGGGTAAACTTTTGTAGAGAGTTGTTAAATAAAAAAAGAATGTAGGCAAAGGATGTTTCAAAAAGACATAATTGATGTTAGACATAAACGGGATCTTTTTTGATTTTTATTGAAGCTGAAAAGTTATAAAGCTAATGACATACAAAATTGAATCATTAGGTATGCAAATAATATAGTTTATAATGTATTTATTCAGAAATTATATTTGAAATATAGACTGAAAATTTAATGTTTCTTTTCATATATATATTTTGATATTGAGGTTCCCAGACGTCATGATGATGAGCGGAATAATATTTACTTGGAACTAATGCACTATGACAGTATAAAAAAACATTCAGTCTTATTAGGGAGTGTTCAGGTACATCTTTATGAAGTAATTCAGGTATGTATCAAAATCATTTCTTTCACTTTGGTGTATCATGTTGTCTAGTGGGTTGTCCAGTTTGTTGTTGTGATGGGCTTTTTTTTTTTGTCTATTATCAGCCTTTAAGCTCATGTACTTAGGAAACAAAATCTCTCTCTGGCTTTCACACACACAAAAAAGTTGGTTTATAACAAAATGTTTTTAAAATTTATTTTCTAGAAAGTTAATGATACCTAAAAGACTAAGTGTAGGGTCTTTTGTTACTTAATTTTATTTATATATTATTTATTTTAATTTACAAATAAGAATTGTATATACCATGTTTCTCCAAAAATAAGACCTCCCCATAAAATAAGCCCTAGCAGGGTTTCTAAGCATTTGCGTAATATAAGCCCTACAGCGAAAATAAGACCTAGTGATGGGCGTGGCTACGCAGCGCATCTGCACAACCCATGCATTTCATCAGGGAGCGGTAAAGAACACTAGCAGCCCTTCTCATCTGCCCCATCGTGACAGCTACTATCCCAGAGGTGACCGGAAATGTGCCTGCAGCCCCACCAGCAAGGTCGGCTCCGCCTCTCAGGTCTCGGCCATCCTGTGCGTGCTGCAAGCTGAGGCTTTGAGGGGAAAGTCTCAGTGAAGTGAGGAGCTGGACGCTCCGCTTTAGGTATTGTGTGACACCAGGGGGAAGAAGGAAAGCTGTGGCTGCCATTTTACTATGATGATGTTCCAGAAGAAGACGATTTAATTATATTTGAATAAATGTAGATTGTTGTACCGTACTTAAAAAAAATAACACAGCCCCTGAAAATAAGCTCTAGTGTGTCTTCTTGAGGAAAACTAAATATAAGACACTGTCTTATTTTTGGAGAAACACGGTATTTATCATGTACAGTATGATGTTTTGAATTATGTATATATTGTGGAATGGCTAAATCAGGCTAAACATGTTTTATCATGTTTCTGAAATGTTTTAAGATGTGATTCAAACTGCAAAGTCTCTTAGTTGGCAGCACAAATTTCAGTTTAGTTCATTTATCCTTAGCTGGACTACTTATAGTTTGCTCTATGCATGCATCTTTTAGGGGTCAGCCAAAGCTTTGGGGAACATTTATACAAAGATTTTGCGGTTGCTTCTCTTTTGCTTTCTCCTTTCTAGGAGTCCTCCTCACTTTCTAGCAGCTGATTGTGTGGTTGCTCTGAACTCAGAGGAGAGAACTAATTGATTAGTGAGCAAGTATAAACAAATCTGAAGGATTTTCAGGAATATTTGTTATGACATACAGCAAGAATTCCCTCAAAAACTAATGGAGTTATATCAAAAGACACAAGAGCCAGATTGCAGGGACTCCTACTGGCCAGTTTCAGGATAATTTGAACATGAAAAAGATTATTACAATATTCAGAATAAAGAAAGATTCATGGCCAGGCGCAGTGGCTCACGCCTATAATCCTAGCTCTCTGGGAGGTGGAGGCAGGCGGATCGTTTGAGTTCAGGAGTTCGAAACCAACCTGAGCAAGAGTGAGACCCTGTCTCTACTATAAATAGAAAGAAATTAATTGGCCACCTAATATATATAGAAAAAATTAGCTGGGCATGGTGGCGCATGCCTGTAGTCCCAGCTACTCTGGAGGCTGAGGCAGCAGGATTGCTTGAGCCCAGGAGTTCGAGGTTGCCGTGAGCTAGGCTGATGCCACGGCACTCACTCTAGCCTAGGCAACAAAGTGAGACTCTGTCTCAAAAAGAAAGATTCATGAGTCCTTGGTATCTTCAGAAAAAAAAGAGGTAGCATGCGAAGAAAAAGGAAATTTTTTAAACAAAAGATTACCAGCTAATGAATGTAGAAGGGATGACAGAAGTACAAATGTATTGTCTTTGCAGCTCTTTATAATGAATAATGATTAATTCAAGTAAGATTTAGAAAGGCACTAAAACCATTGGGTAAAAGATTATTTAGGAGCAAGATAGTTGATTGATGCCACAGTAACAGTGCATAGATTATTGCAAAGGAGAAACTCTTTCTCTACAGTAGAGTGATATGGTAGTCACCGCTTTAACCAAGAGCATGAATTTTGCATAGCTAACATTATATGTAATTTAACATTATATACTTTCTGTAGTGATACAGTATGAGGTATGCAGCATTACCTATGACTTATTGTCATCAAAAATGTTTAACACAAATATAAGCAAGCTGTATCTAGAACTAACTTCAAGTTTACAGAAATTTAGGGAGGTAGGGAAAAAGTTAAAGAATATCTTGACGATATGATAAGATAAATACAGAAACAGGACTTACCAGCTTAGATATTTTAAAAACTAAAGGTACCCAAAGGAAAAAAAAGGTACTTTATAAAAAGACATTTGCACTTGAATGTTTATAGCAGCATAATTCATAATCTCAAAGATGTGGAAACAACCCAAGTGCCTATCAATACATGAGTGGATCAATAAATTGTGGTATGTGTATACCATGGAGTATTACTCAGCCATAAAAAATGGTGAACTAATACCTTTTGTAACAACCTGGGTAACTGCAAACCATCCTTTTAAGTGAAGTGTCACAGGAGTGGAAGAACAAAAACCATATGTACTCACTACTAAATTGAAACTTATACAACATTCATGTGGACATATGGTAGTAAAATTCAATGGAAATCAAGCAAGTGGGAGGTAAGAGGAGGAGATGGGTAAATTCACACCTGTCAGATACAATGCATACTATATGGGTGATGGACACACTTATAACTTTGACTGTAACTTTACAAAAGCAATTCATGTAACCAAAACATTTGTATCCCCATAATATTCTGAAATAAAAAAATTAAATAAAGCCAATAACCCTCTAGCCAGGCTAAGGAAAAAAAGAGAAAACACAAGTAAAAATAAGTAAATAAATAAAATATTTAATAGTATGTAATTAAAATTTTAAAACAGACATGAAATTTCAAGTTTTAAATTTAAAATTCTGATATTTATGAATCAGATTTTAGAATTTTGAGCAAAGTAATAATATTTTTGAAAACAAAACAAAAAACCACTTAAGGATATTAAAAAATGAGGGAAATTGTAGATTTAAAGGCAACTTAAAGACAACTTCGGATCCAGATTTCAAAAAGATAGTTACAAAAGACATTCTTGGGACAATATGCTGAATATTAGATAAAATCCTAGAATTATCAATTTTCTTATCTGTGATACTGATACTGTGGTTATGTAGAAGAATATCCTATTTTTAAGTTATTCAAGGTAAGGTTTTAACATTTAGGAGTGAAGAGTGATGATGGTTGCAACTAAAAAATAGTTTAGCAAACATATAAGTATACACACAGGCTAAACAAACATTGGTAAACTGTTAAACAGTTTTAACAATTGTTAAATATTTTAACTTGTTTAACCTTCATAGAGAGTATGTTGGTACTTATTGTGGGAGTCTTTTAATTGGCCTGTGTGTTTGAAAATTTTCATAATAAGAGCTTAGGGAAAGTAAGATAGCCTTCCAATACATAGCAAGAGGCATTGGGTGAAGAAGGAGGTGAATATATTGACTAATGAATAAGGGTAAGCAGCCAGGGAGTCTCAAAAATATTTGGGGAGAGGAACTTTGGAAATCACTAAAATTCCTTTTCTTAGGCATCAAAAAAAGTGACATTATTTATTAGTCACTTTTTGTTGAAGGAAACTTAGAAACTTGGACTAGAATTATACATGCTAACTTTTCAATATTTATTTTTATAGGATCAATTTTTTTAAAATATGCTAACTTAATTTTAAAATAAAGTGTAGATTTTTAAAATTAAAAAATCACCATTATTGGCCGGGCGCGGTGGCTCAAGCCTGTAATCCTAGTACTCTGGGAGGCTGAGGCGGGCAGATTGCTCGAGGTCAGGAGTTCGAAACCAGCCTGAGCAAGAGCGAGACCCCGTCTCTACTATAAATAGAAACAAATTAATTGGCCAACTAATATATATAGAAAAAATTAGCTGGGCATGGTGGCGCATGCCTGTCGTCTCAGCTACTTGGGAGGCTGAGGCAGCAGGATTGCTTGAGCCCAGGAGCTTGAGGTTGCTGTGAGCTAGGCTGATGCCATGGCACTCACTCTAGCCTGGACAACAAAGTGAGACTCTGTCTCAAAAAAAAACAAAACAAAAATCACCATTATTCCACGATTCTAAATAACATTTTGTTTTACAGAATTTCTTTCCAATTTTTCTTGTAAACAAAAGCAGAAAAATAGAAAATATAAAAGACTCATTCATATTCTAGAATTGAAAATACAATTATCTGAAATTAAAATTCACTTGATAGACTTAGCAGAGTGGAGATGCCAGAGGAAAGGCTATTTTTTTCTTATTAATCTTTTTAAAATTTATATGACTACTTAAAGCAAAAATTATAACCTTATATGTGAGGTTTATAATGTTTAGATATGTAATGCATATAACACCCATAGCCTAAAGCTTAGGGAGAGATGGGGTTTAAAGGACCTATATAATTGCAAGGTTTTTGCATTTTCTCTGAAGTGTGGTACATTGTTAATGCAATAAAGTTGAAGTCTCTATGTTGCTGCCTAGTTCCATCTACTGCCTCTTCCCCTCTCCCCAAGAAAAGATAGTGATTATCCTAAACTTAGAATTTATTATTCCTTGGTTTTTTCATAGCTATACTACTTATGTACAGTTATGAAAATGTTATCATTTTGTTTCTAAACATAGTATTTTTCTAATATTAATACACTTAATTTTATTAGCTAGTGTTCATTTTTTTGCTATTATGTACTATTCCATGTGGGGGTATTCCTCTATTTGCCTATAAATTATTTTTTAGCTACTTATTTATTTATATTTAATTGACAGATAATAATTGTGTATATTTATAAAGTACAGTGTCATATTTTTATCTATGTATACATTGTAAAAAGATTTAATCAAGCTAATTAATATATCTATCACCTCACAACTTATTTTTTTGTAATGAAAATGTTGAAAATCTATTTTTTGAAGCAATTTTGAATTATACATTATCATTAGCTATAGTTACTAGGCAGTGCAATAGATCACTGGAACTTAGCCATGCAACTTGCCTGATGCACAGTAGAGCCAAATTTGGGGCATAGGAGCCAAATAGCTCTCTGCCGCACATTGAAACTCACCAGAGGGAACTGAGTGAAAGCTTAGAACTCAGTAGATTTGGATGAGATGCATATTCAAGCTGAGCATTTTAGTTGGCTCCGATGAAAAGACTCTGTGGGGCAGATCTTAGTGGGACCTCCAGAAAGAACTCGAAGACATTCATAATAGTTAAAAGTATGGTTGGAAGTTTACTTATATGTGAGGAACATTTTCTTTGATCAAAAGCAAAGACAGTTTATATAAGAGAAGGAAAAAAAGACAGTTTTGGAACAATGAGGTATTTCCCCACTCCCTCTTTGAGAACAGAGAAGTTATCAAGGGTAAGAAGCTATAAACAGTAGGTTTACAGAATTATTAAGGAAATTAATTTCAAGTATTTGTGGATTTTCTGAGAAATCTTATGATTTTATGTGAAGAACATGTATAATTTGCTAATTCTGTGTCATGACTACCATTGTACTACCGTGTTTCCTCGAAAATAAGACAGGGTCTTATATTTATTTTTCCTTAAGAAGACACCCTAGGGCTTATTTTCAGGGAATGTGTTATTTTTTTTAAGTACAGTACAACAATCTACATTTATTCAAATATAGTTAAGTCATCTTCTTCTGGAACAGCATCATAACTCTCCAAACCCCGAATTCCATCCTGAATTTCTTGTGACTCTATTTCCTTTAGAACCATTGGCCCCAATCTCTCATGTCAAGCAATAGAGCTCTCATGGGGCAAATGAGAAGGGCTGCTCGTCTTCTTTACCGCTCCACGACGAAATGCATGGGTTGTGCAGATACGCTGCGTAGCCACGCCCATCACCAGGTCTTATTTTCGGGGTAGGGCTTATATTGCACAAGTGCTTAGAAATCCTGCTAGGGTTAATTTTATGGGTAGGTCTTATTTTCGGGGAAACACGGTACCATCTAAGTTATTTCTCTCATAATGTCTCACCAGGAACTGAGAAGAGATATAGGTCCTGGAGGAATGCAGGGGATGTGTGAACCAGGTGCCAAAGTTTTCACTAAATCAGGATTAGTAACCTTAATGTGTGAAAGACAATCAAATCGCCAGATAGCATAAGGCTTAAAAGAGGAAAACGTTTTATACCTGCATGAAATAATACGATCTGTAAGGAATAGAGTGTGGAGTGGAGGATGATATTCAACTTCCTGACCTTGCGGTATTTAGGCTTTTGGAGACCAAACACCTTCACTTGAGGGATTTGTAAGGGAAGCAGAATATCCCCAGTGGTAAGCCAGGTCTCAGGGAAAGCAGAGAGTAGAAGGAATGTTTAGAGATGTAAGGTTGTTTGTTAACCATGTCATTGAGAGTAGGGGAAAATGCTGGGAAGATATTGGATTGGTGAGATATTGGATTGGTGGAATGACAGACAGCAGAGATGACCACAGATGGTGATCAAGGATATCAAAGGTTTACCTAGTTTAAAGAATCTTAGCAGTCCCTCAGAGATGAGAGAGAGGTACTCTCAGGTAGGAATCAGCTTATCATGTAGATCTTTGTTTAACCTTTCAAAAAGAATGTGGGTTTGGCGCATTTTCTAAGACTTTTAAAAAGGGGAACTGTAACTAGCAGGAACATTTTTGTTTAAAACATAAACGTTGGCCTGGTGTGGTGGCTCACACCTGTAATCCTAGCACTCTGGGAGGCCGAGGCTATAGGATCGCTCAAGGTCATGAGTTCGAAATCAGCTTGAGCAAGAGTGAGACCCTGTCTCTACTAAAAATAGAAAAAAATTAATTGGACAATTAAAAATATATAGAAAAAATTAGTTGGGCATGGTGGCACATGCCTGTAGTCCCAGCTACTCGGGAGGCTGAGGCAAGAGGATCACCTGAGCCCAGGAGTATGAGGTTGCTGTGAGCTAGGCTGATGCCACACACTCTAGCCGGGGCAACAGAGTGAGACTCTGTCTCAAAATAAATAAATAAATAAAACATAAATGTAAATATTAACATTTATTTCTGTTACTTGTACCTGGAATTTTAATTTTCTTCTTCTGAACATTCCTTATGTGTTTATATTTTAGCTATTAGTTTCATGTGTGCATTTGAAAAATCATTACCTGATCTTTTTACTATAATATGGTTTAGATAATATATAGGTATATACGTAAGTGATTCTATATTTAAGAATTTTATTATTACTTTTTTCTAGAAAGGGTGCTTTACTGAAGAATTTCAAGTGTTGAACAAAAACATAGTAAGAACTTTATTGACACTTCCTAAGTTTTGTGCACATGTAATATTTTCTTAACAGTTCATGTAACTTTAATATTATTTGTAGCCTACATCTTTTTATTCGTTTTTGTTACCCTACCTGTCACTGTTTGAATTAGAAATGTACTAAATAGAAAGTATAATATTTGCTCACAAATATCTTCACAACCCCCCCCCCCATCCCTTTCTTTAAGCTACTATCTTACTGCTAAATAGTGATAAAGAAAATAAGAATTCTTTGGTAAGAGAGAAAAATGCCTCTGGATGCATAGCCTCAGGAGCCTCACTTTGCTAAATTGAAAAAGTATTATTTTTCTTCTTGAGGAGTTTCTAAAGAATTGATTCCAGTTCTTATTCTAAGTTATTTTCAGGGGGTTAAAATTATTAGCCTGATTAATTGACCTTCTTTCTATTCAGAGAGAATTCTGTTGACAATGGCCCAAACAGGGACAAGGAACATAAAAAAAACAGAATGATGGACCTTTGAGGTTATTATCTCTCATGCCCTCCTTTATTTCACACATAAGCAATCTTTGGTTCAGAGAGTGAAATTACTTGTCTAAGACAAAATTTTATCTCAAAATGGGAGTGGAGGTGAGAGGAGTGTGAGTAAATAATTTAAAAATATATACATGTATATGAATATATATGTATATATGTCTGTATCTCAGTGTAATCCTATTAATAATTATAAGTTGATAGTTTCCATATTTTAATCATATAATATTACTTAACTTTAACACAGAAGGTTTTAACATTTTAGGAACTCAATAGATTCTTCTATACGAATTCCTTGTGTAAATGCTTTTATTTAAAATCAGGAGATTCATACTTTGGCATTTCTAACTTATAGACTTGTAAAGTAAAAATATCACTTGCTGTCATTTCTTCATCGAAATGTCATTCCAATCAAATAGTAAAATAAATTTGCCACACGTTTAGTTTATTTGCAGGTTGGAGGTGGAATTTATGTTCTCCTATGGAAACTTTGGCTATGGATTTTCACATCAGGTTCGTTCCCTTCTATTCTAAAATTATTCTCCTATAGCTCTTTGGTCAGATCAGCCTCTTCTGAGCCTCTATTTTATCCAGTTTGATAAATTCTTTAAAATAAATATTTTTAAAAGAATGCTACTCCACCTTCTGACCTTGAGGCATGCAGGCTTTTCTTCACCCTAAAGAAAATGAGACTTTACCATTATTTATTTATACATTTTAAAATAATAATCTTTTATTCAAAATGTCTTTATTATAAAGCTTGCTTTTATTTGCATGTATACATACATGTTGATGTAATAAAAACAAAATTATTTTAAGTATTCAAGAAGTTAATGTGGATTTTCGTGTCTAAAAATATTTATTAAAAATGGAATCATTGATTTTATTCAGATAATATTTTATGCTCTGACCCTCTATGCTCCTTTCTTCCATGTTTATTTCAATATCTGGTGTTATTTTAACTCACCTTGATTCAAGAGAGTAATCCCCATAGAAGATATCTTCCTGGCTTTGACTTGCCCCTTTTAATTCACTACCATATATCCATGTTGCCATGAACATTTTTGTGTACTAACCTGTGTCCTTTTATTTCATTATGTCTTTAGGTTAGATTCATAGAAAGGAAAGTATTGTCCAAAACAATGACCTTTCCAAGGAATTATTCTAGAAAAGTTCCACCAATATATACTCTCACCAGGTGTTTGAAAAAACTCTGGATATCCCTGGGTATTACAACAGTTTGAGGGCATTAAAAAATCCAGTCCCATTAATGCTGCTCTTATGTAGGGAGAATGACCTTTATACTTTGCATGTAATCTTTCATTTCCAGTTTTTGCTACTTTTTTTTTTTTTTTTTACAGTCTTGGGTGTTTTTTAATTAGGAATTGAAAGTGAATACATCAGTCTTACTAAATGAGCCTATTGCTATGTTAACTGAGAAATCCCTGTAGTATGTTTTTAAATTTTGCCTGTAATACATTATAATGATTTTTAATACATTTTGAATCAGAAATAATATACATATGAAAGGCACAGGGAACAAGCTTTTATTTTTTTCCTTCTCTGCTTTGATTTTTTTTGTTTTTTTTTTTGGAGACAGGGTCTCACTCTGTTGCCCTAGCTAGAGTGCAGTGGTATCATCAAAGCTCACGGCAACCTCAAACTACTGGGCTCAAGCGATCCTTCTGCCTCAGCATCCTGAGCAGCTAGGACTACAGGCGCTCACCACCACACCCACTTAATTTTTTCTATTTTTAGTGGAGATGGAGTCTTACTCTTGCTCAGGCTGGTCTGAAACTCTTGACCTCAAGTGATCCTCCTGCCTTGGTCTCCCAGAATGTTAGGATTACAGGTGTGAGCCATCATACCCGGTCTCTGCTTTGATGTTTTTTTCTTTTTCTTCTGCCTGTCTTCTTTATTTCTTATCATGAATTAGGCCTTATAGGGACCCCTAATTGTTTACTCTTTTTTGTGACAGTCATGGCTTATGAGTACCAACTTCAGAGGTAGGTTTTGTATCTGAACCTAAGTATAACATGTAACAATAGCCATTTTTAAGCAGAAACATCCTTTTCAGATAAAACTGGGCAAATATCATTTTATGTAGGTGGAATCTACTAAAAACAAGAAACAAAGCTATTGTATGGAGAAGAATTGTATACATAATAAAAGTTCAAAGTAAAACTTGATTTTATGTCTATGAACCTTTGGCTGATATAGTCCGCTATTTACCTATCATGATACTATAAAAAGAGCTCTGCATTGGGGTCAGGTAAAGCTACATTCAAATTCTGACTTTCACCTATTGTGTAACCTTGAACAAATTACTTATTTTCAGTATCATCTGTGAAATAGACAGTTATCTACTGTGTAGATTTTTAAAGTTAAAATATAATTATATTATTATATTTTTAAATATAATTAAAGTTAATTATATTTAATTATATGAATATAATTAAAGTTAAAAATGCTTGGCAAATATTTAGTACTAATCAATATTAGTTTTTTCTTTCCTTTCTTCATTTCTTTTCTCCTTACATATGTCACTTAAGACCTATTCCATAGACCTGGCGTATTAATAGTATTAGAGTGAAATGTAATTGTAACTAAACAGTGTTAAAATATATTTATATTTTTTTCAGTTAAAACCATTTCAGAAAAGTACTGAGCCATCTATGTTTATGAATACTACACCACCTCCAGAAAGAAAAGATCCTGTAACGTAAGTATTTTAAGTCTCGTTAATATGGTCAGATCATGTGGCATTTTAAAAAATTTAATCCACCTGATGTTTTGGTTATTTTAAGAAGCCCCCAGGACATGGCCAGGATAGGCTAGACTCCAAGGTGAAAAGAGCAGTGAATTGTTTTGCATAGTAAGATAGGAGAAATTTTGAACTTCTGAGTATAACCCTTTCAGAAAGAGGTAAAAAGGTCTGGAGATAAGAAAAAGAGGAGAGGGAATGCCAAATTCATGGGTGAAGGAGGGAGGGAAAGGGTAACCTAATGAGAAAAGTTGGCTAGGGAGATATTTCTTTTGGGAAAAAAGGTGAGGGACTTAAAGATCAGAGTGTTTGATAGTTGACAATTTTCTGTTCTGCAGTACGGTAATGTTACCTTTACCTTCACACCACTCCAATTGTTACTTCACCAATTATCAGTAAAAGGTCTATGGTAAAAAAAAATGTCATAAGTAAACCAAAAGTAACTTAAAATATTGTATGCCAATCAATCCTGAAATTCCAACAATAAGAATAAATTAAAGAAAAATGAGCTCTTGAGAAATAGATTTAATCTATAGTGTAAGAATAAGAATAAGAAATGGAAAGAGTTGAAATGGTGTTCAGGAAATTAGGTATAGGATGAGAAATTGTGTTCTGAAGTGCTTATTTTTCTGTAGTCTCACCAATAGTGGATATTATCATTAAAATACACTTTAACCATTTGATATTGATGATTTATTGAAATAGTAAAGTTGAATTTTTTTCTGATGTTTATTGACTTTTTTTCCTTCTCCATCCATTAATTAAATAAACATTTATTGATTGACTGCTATATCCCCAAGGCATTGCAAATACTAAGACAAATGGAGCCTGGTCCTTGCCCTCATGTGGCTCATGGTTTAATGCAAAGGTTACATGTAAAACAAAAAAATTATTACAATGCAAATGGAATAAGAGCCCTCCTACAGCCAAACATAAAGAACTGTGGGACAGCCAAGGAGCTTCTAATTCTTCTCAGAGGAGTTGAGGGGGGGAATAGTATTATCAAGTAAAGTTCCACGAAAGAAAGTGTTTGAAGTGAGACTTGAAAAAATGGTAATAGTGCATGTGACTGATTTTGGAGCAGTGAGGTGACATATTCCCCAGAGGACACATTTGTAAAAGCAGGGAGCTATGAGAGACCATGTTGTGTTAGAGAATAGTGAGTTGTTAGCTGCGAGTGGCTAAGATTATAGGAGCAAGAAGGGAGCAATGGGGGATGAGCTGGAGGAGTAAGCAGGGCAAGATAGGGTGATTAAGTGTTCAGGCTCTGGAGCCAGACTGCATGGGCTCACATTCTGGCTCTGCCAGGTACCAGCTGTGTGACCTTGGGCAAGTTATTTAGGCTTTTTGTACTTCATCTATTGAATGGGATAAAAATAAAAACTACCCTGTTGAATTACTATATTGATTAAATAAGTTACATATAAAGCACTTAGAACATGGTAGCAAATTGTAAAATGCTTAATTAGCTGTTAGCTACTTATACAAGTAATAAATATTTTATCGTCACCATCATCATCATTGTAGGTTTATGCTTCTTATATGTGAGTAAATTTTACTCCTCTGAGTCCTCAGGAATGTGCTACACTCCAAAAGAGCTATTTGAGTTTTCTAATTTACACAGTTTTCTAATTACACAGAAATTGGAGAACATGTGTAGGAATGGATATTAAGAGTATAGGATAATGGTGGAAGGAAAATAAAGTTGGATCAGGCTGAATTTATTGATATAGCCTCACTATTTTTTTGCATTTAATATTGTAGCTTGGGGAGTTAAAGAGGGCTCTAACAACTTGTTTAGTTGGATGGCTGAAACATCAAACAAAAGGTGGCCCACAGTTAGTTAGAAGTGCCAGATTAATGTAGAGGAAGGAATTCAAAGGCTTAGGGAAATTATAATATTAAAATGGATTTGCCACTTAAGATCTGCTCACCTTTCCTGGGAGGGTCCAGAAAACACACATTTTATCATGACTGTGAGAAGTGAATTTGTAAAGGATGCCCTGGCATTCTTGAAGAGCTGTGTGATTGTTCTTCTCTGTGGGTCAGACATTGCAATCAGAACTGCAGTCACTGAATTAGAAAACTTAAATGCAGTGGGAATAACTGGATCCCAGGGTGGCAGGAGCCAAGTGCAGGGATTCAACTGTCAAAGGCAAAGTGGCTGTGGTTACCATAACAGACAGTAGGGTCAAAGCAGCAATCAGTATAGTCTTAGCAGGGCAAACCTATGATGTTGACTAATTGATCACGATGTCCTAGAAGTGAATAGATAGGGAGGCTGTTAAATTTTTACTTGATCTAAGTAGATTTACTTAGATCTACTTGATCTAAGTAGATTTTTACTTGATGTAAGCAGAAAAGTTCTAAGTTGAGTGAGCATAAGTATAACACACATCATAATAGCAGAGAGTCATGGCTCTTCATTCAATTCCCAGACTTGAGCCAGTTTACAAACCCAGATTTCCTTGAATGATGGGGAGGTCAGGTCCCTCACAGAAGGACCCTCATGTACTTCTAAAAACCTATACTATTTGTCTTTCTCCCAGACTTTCTCAAAAGGATCTATGGCCTTTTACCATGGTAACTGTGCACTGGGGAAAAGGGAACAATCAGAGCTTTTGGGGACTACTAGACACATTGCTCTGTAATGACACTAATTTCAGAAGACCCTTAATGTCACTCTGGTCCAGCAATCAGAATAGGGACTTATGGAGCTCAAGTGATAAATAGAATTTTAGCACAAGTCCATCTTGTGCTAAAGTTGGCCCCTTGGGTCTCTGAACCCATCCTGTGGTTATTTCCCAGTTTTGGAATGCATAATTAGAATAGATATATACTCAGTAGCTGGCAGAATCCTCACATTGGTTCCTTTATCTGTGGAATGAAATCTATTATGGTGGGAAAAGGTAAGAGGAAGCCACTAGAACTCCCTCCATCCAGGAAAATAGTAAGCAAAAAACAATACCTCATGGAGGGATTACAGAGATTAGTGTCACCATTAAGGACTTGAGAGACACAGGGATGGTGATTCCCACTGCATCTCCATTCAACTCCCCTATTTGGCCTGTGAGAAAGACAGATGGATGTTAGAGAATGACAGTGGATTATGGCGAGCTTAACCAGGTGGTGACTGCAATTGCAGCTGCTGTATCAGATGTGGTCTCATTGCTTGTGCAATTAACATTTCCCCTGTTATCTGGCATGTAGCTATGAATCTGGCAAGTGCTCATTTCTCCATACCTGTTACTAATAATAACGACCATCATGAGCAGTTTGCTTTCATCTGGAAAGGCAAACAATATATTTTCACTGGCCTAACTTGGGTATATCAATCTCGAACCCTGTGTTGTAATTTAGCTCCCAGGGATCTTGATCGCCTCTTCCTTCCATAATATATCACAGTAGTCTATTATATTGATGACATTATGCTGATTGGACCTAGTGAGCAAGAAGTAGTAACTACTCTGGACTTATTGGTAAGACATTTTTATATCAGAGAGTGAGAAATAAATCTGACAAAAATTCAGGGCCTTCTACTTCAGTGAGATTTCTAGGGGTCCAGTGGTGTGGGTGGTATGAGATATCCCTTTTTGGTAAAGGATGGGTTGTTGAATCTGACTTCTCCTATAACAAAAAAAGAGATACAACTCCTAGTAGACCCTTTCAGATTTTGGAGGTAACCTATTCCTCATTTGGGTGTCTTAATCTGGCCTATTTACTGAGGAACTCAAAAAGTTTCTAGTTTTGAGGGAGGCCCAGAACAAGAGAAGGCTCTGTAATAGGTCCAGGCTACCATGCAAGCTGCTCTGCCACTTGGGCCATATGATCCAACAGATCTAATGATATCTGAAATATCAGTGGCAGAAGAAATACTCTTTGGAGCCTTTGACAGGCTCCTATAGGTGACTTGCAATAAAGGCCATTAGGATTTTGGAGCAAAGCCCTGCTCTTCTGTGCAGATAACTACTCTGCTTTTGAGAAACAGCTTTGGCCTGTTACTGGGCTTAGAGACTGAATGTTTAACCATAGGCTGCCAAGTTGCCATGCAACCTGAGCTGTCCACCATGAACTGGGTGTTATCTGACCTACCAAGCCATAAACTGGGCATGCAACCAAGCCATAAAACTGGGCATGCATAGCAGTACTCCATCATCAAATGGAAATGGTATTATGTGATCAAGCCTGCTCTTACTCTGGATATAGATTTGCCTTTTCTACATGCAATACTTCTGCTAAAACTACTATCCATGGACTTACAGAATGCCTACTCATTATCATAGTATTCCACACGGCATTACTTCTGACCAAGTAACTCGCTTCACAACCAAAGAAGTACATAAGTGGGCCCATGATCACGAAATTAATTGGTCTTAACCATGTTCTCCATTATCCTGAAGCAGCTGGATAGAACTGTGGAATGGCCAGCCTTTTGAAGACTCAGTGATAGCTCCAGCTAGGTGGCACTTGCAGAGCTGGAGCAAGGTTCTCCAGAAGGCTGTATATGCTCTGAATCAGTGACCAATATATTGTGCTTTCTTCTCCCATAACCAGGATTCAGGGGTCCATAAATCAAGATGGGAAAGGGAGTTGTACCACTCCCTATTACTCCTAATGATCTTGTAACAAAATTTTTGCTTCCTTTTCCTGCAACTTTATCTTCTTCTGGGCTAGAAGTCTTAGTTCTAAAGGGAGGAATGCTTCTACTAGGACATGCAACGATTCCTCTTAATTGGAAGTTATAACTGCCACCTTGCCACTCTGGGTTCCTCATGCCTCTGAATCAACAGGTAAAGAAGGGAATTACTGCACTGGTTGGGTGATTGATACTAACAACCAAGGGGAAATTGAACTGTTATTGCACAATGGAAGTAAAGAAGAATGTATCTGGACTATAGGAGATCCCTTGGGCATCTCTTAATATTACCATCCCTTGTGATTAAGGTTTCAACGGAAAACTACAACAGTCCAATCTAGGTAGGACTACTCATGGCCTAGACACTTAAGGAATGAAAGTTTGGATCATGCCATCAGGTAAAGATCTATGACCAGCTGAGGTTAATGCTGAAAGCAAAGGAAATACTGAATGGGTAGAGGAAGAAGGTAGTTATAAATGCAGGCTATTGACCATGTGACCAATTTCAGAAACAAGGATTATAATTGTCATGAGTATTTTCTCCTTATGTTGTTATTAATACATATTTTTGTGTGTGTGTATGTGCAAAGATCTTTGTTTTATTTATTTATTTATTTTTTTGAGACAGAGTCTCACTCTGTTGCCCAGGCTATAGTGCCATGGCATCAACCTAGCTCACAGCAACCTCAAACTCCTGGGCTCAAGCAATCCTCCTGCCTCAGCCTCCCAAGTAGCTGGGACTACAGGCATGCGCCACCATTCCCGGCTAATTTTTTTATATATATATTTTTAGTTGTCCAGCTAATTTCTTTCTATTTTTTTAGTAGAGACAGGATCTCGCTTTTGATCAGGCTGGTCTTGAACTCCAGAGCTCAAATGATCCTCTAGCCTCGGCCTCCTAAAGGGCTAGGATTATAGGCATGAGCCACCACGCCCAGCCAAGATCTTTGTTTTCTTCCCTCTCTTATCCCCTTATGTAACATAAGATGTATTGAAGTTATATCATATTATTTAAGTATTATTAACTTTACATCACAATATTTATATTTTGGGATATTAAGGAGAAAAGTAAACATCACTCAAGAACTTTATCTTCTTTTCTGGGAAAGGAGTTAGTGTGTTTTGGGTTGTATGCAGGATAGTTGTGTAACGTTAGGTGGAACAAAGACCTTGTTATTGTCTTCATTTAGTGATTAAGTATGGTGGAAGGAAATGAATATAGGTGCCAAGTTAACAAGGGGTGGAATTGTGATGGTTAATTTTATCTGTTAACTTCACTGGCCATAAGGTGCCCAGATATTGATCAAAAATCATTCTGGGAGGAGGGCATTTTTCGATGAGATTAACATTTAAATTGGTAGACTGAGTAATGCAGATTGTTCTCCCTGATGTGGGTGGGCTTCATCCAATCAATTAAATACAATGAAAAGACTGACTCTCCTGCAAATAAAAGAGAATTTCTCCTGCGTGACTACCTTTGAGCTGGGACATCAGCTATTCCCTGCCTTTGGACTCAAACTGAAGTGTCAGCTCTTTCTTGGTCTCCAGCCTGCCAGCCTTTGGACTGGAACTACACTATTGGCTCTCCTGATTCTCAGGCCTTTGGACTCAGACTAGAATTATACCATTGGCTCTCCAGCTTGCTGACTGACTGTGCATATCTTGGGATTGAGCAGCCTCTATAATTGCATGAGCCAATTCCTTATAATAAATCTCTTTCTTTTTAATGTATATCCTGTTGGTTCTATTTCTATGGACAACCCTAACTAATACAGTGGAACAGAGGAACAAATTAATTTGTCAGATATTTAGAATATTTAATCATATCTCCTACACTTAGGAAGTGACTGATTAAAGACAGAAGATGACAGAAAGGGAATAGGGAGGAGAAAAAAGATGTTATTCATATTTATAGACCTCTAGGTATATATCTGGTGCAGTTATTTCCTAAACCAGGGAATACTGAGGAAAGAGCATATTTGGGAAATGGGAAAATGGTGAGTTCTAGTTTGGACATGTTGAGTTTAAGGTGCTTACTACTATGCATAGTATAGAATAGTGTTGAAGAATATGAGCTTTATAGTCAAAGAGACTGTTCAAATGTTAGCTCTGCCACTTACCAGCTGTAAGACCTTGGAGGAGGGAGTTGTTTAATCCCTTTAACCCGGGAGCCGCGCGCAGCATATGAGCCACGCTGAGCGGAGCCGAGCGAGGCTGCTGGACTGCGAGCACCCATGCTGCTGACGCTGGCCTGGGGGTCACTCTTCTTCCCAGGGCTCTTCACTCTCTACATCTGGGTGCTGCATGGCCAGAATGGACCGACTCCAACTGCCTGATGATCGGCACCAGGCTGGTTTCTTCAGTGCAGGCTGTGCTGGCCACTGGGTCGGGCATCGTCATCTAAGCTCCTGCAGCGACGTGGTCAACGGCAGGCACTGGCTTGCCCGAGAATATGTCTGGTTTTTGATTCCATACATGGTCTATGACTCCTACGCCATGTACCTCAGTGAATGGTACTGAACCAGAGATCAGAACCATGGGCACTCCACCACTTTTAGAAACTTCCTAAGTCAAAACCGCCTCATGATCACAAACAATGAGGCCATTCTATTTGTCCTTGTGCCAGTTGCACAGAGGCTCCGGGGAGACCTGGGGAACTTCTTTGTCGGCTGCATCTTCACAGCAGAACTGAGCACTCCATTTGTGTCACTGAGCAGAATTCTGATTCACCTAAAGCAGCAGCATACTCTTCTGTACAAGGTGAATGGAATCCCCATACTGGCCACCTTCTTCTCCTGTGGGATCCTTTTCTTCCCCTTCATGTATTGGTCCTACGGCCAACAGCAGGGACTGAGCCTGCTCCAGGTGCCATTCAATATTCCTTTCTTCTGCAACGTGGCCAATGCCTTCCTCATCGCTCCTCAGATCTACTGGTTCTATCTGCTGTGCAGGAAGGCATCCTGGCTCTTTGATACCCCCTAAGCCAAAAAGGATGGTTAAATGCTCCCAGGAGTCAGACAGTGAGGGTGCCTCCTCCACTCAGTATTCCATGGACCGTATCGTGCCCTGGGTGGGCTCAGCCGTTTGGATATTGATAAACAGATGGATTTGAGTTTTTCTAAAGAATATTCTTATTCCTTCCCTCTTCTAACCTGCCCCTTTTACAAAAAAAGCACTTTAAAAAAAATTTTTTTTTTTAGTAACAACTATTACAGACCTTTACTGGCAGCAAGGTGGTTTTAAAGCAAGCCCAAGGATCTTCCTTGGGTTTTATCGGAAGAGCTCTGGGAGGTAGGAGCACAGGCTGTAGAGATTGGTAGATCAGGGTGTTAAGTGTCTGGGCACCTGCATGGCCCTAACATTGGCAGCCACCCACATTCCCGACCACTTAGGGCAGTACCCACGATACTGGGCCAGCAGAAGCAAGTGATGACTTAGCTCTTGAAGTAGTGTCTTCTTGCGACACTGGCCTAAGAAAATCATTGTAGGTAGGTAGTTTTTATTGTTTACCAGATAACCCACTGGTTCTTTGCCTTATCCTCTCATCCATGTCAACATTGAATTCTCATGTTTACTGACTTACAATCAGAAGTCTCACTGGCAGCAGAGTAGGAGGCAGCGTTGGGAACCCGAAGTACTTGAGTAGGTAAGGAGGCCAATAGAGGTCAGCACCACCTTTACAGGCAGACTTGGTAAAAAGACCAGTGTCAAACTTGTGAGCTTGTTGCAAGCAGTCACAAATACTAGTCTTTTATTAGCATGTCTCCTCATGCCCAGCTTTCCCCATATCTATACGCATCGGATGCTCTCATAAAAGCTAGAGAGGCAAAGTGAAATGATGGCTTTGGTAGCTATTTACTGGGTAACCCCACTCTTTGGCACTGTCCTTTTCATATGAAGTAGAAATGGACTTCTATACTGCAAAGCATGAGGTACCTCATCTAGACTGTGGAGTACTTTTCCCAGAGCTTCCTACAAAGACAGAGCTTGTGGTCCAAAGCCCATTGCCCATTTAGCCACAGAAGGCTGGAGAGCAAGACGGCAGCAGCCTAGCCAGAGTATGTCCTGTGGACTGACACCTTCACCCCTACTTGCAGATAGGATCCTCTGGTGCCAACACTAATCATTCCTTAACAAGGATGGTGCAAACACTAATTCCTTAACAAGGGTGGGTTTCAGAGACTGCTACCATGTTTTTTCAAGTGGTAGTAAAAAACTAGAATTTTTAAAGTGCCTTTTAATTCATTGTCCATGAACTTTTGAAGAACTGAATGATTTATAATAGTGTCTCAAATTTTGACTGTTTCGGTCTTTAATGGGTGCCTTTTAAAAAACATAAAATGCTATCATTTTTTTTACTGTTTTGTTTGTTTTTACTATCAGTATATATTTATAAGTCACCCCATGGTGATTAAATTGCACTAATATTTCCCAACTTATTTTCCTTTGTGAAATACTGATTTCCAGTAAAAACAGTCCTGTGACCCACATAAAAAAAAATCCCTTTAACCGTAGCTTTCGTGTGTGTGTGTGTGTGTGTGTGTGTGTGTGTGTATTTTTTTTTTTTTTGAGACGGTCTTACTCTGTCACCCTGGCCAGAGTGCAATGGCATCATCATAACTCACCACAACCTCAAACTCCTGGGCTCAAGCGATCCTCCTGCCTCTCAGCCTTCTGAGTACCTGGGACTACAGGCATATGTCACCACACATGGCTGATTTTTTCTATTTTGAGTAGAGATGGGGTTTTGCTCTTGCTCAGGCTAGTCTTGAACTCCTGGCCTCCCAGAGTGCTAGCATTATAGGCATGAGCCAATGCTTCTGGCTAGCTTTCTTACATTTAAATTGGGATCTAATAATTCTCATTTCATAGGTTTGCTGTGAAAAATGAATGAGGTAATATACATAGCTATATGAACACAGTGCTGGTACATAATATATTTCAAAGAATTAATAGATTAAAAAAATGGAATACACAGGAGATAGACATTTGAGTCTAAAGATCGGGAAAGAGGTCTGTGCTCAAATACTTTCTACTTCTCATTAGAACTTCAGATCCTTCTCTCCTTTCCCATCTTGCTGTCTGTGATCTTAGTAGTGAGGATAATCAAGAGAGTATTTCTCTGGGTATCTGACTCTTACCTTTCTTCCTAGCTCTGTCCTCTGATGGCCCAAGGTAAACAGGTAAGCTGAAAAGTATAAAAGAGAGAAGGATTCAAAAGTGATAGTTGCTACTGATTTTAGAAGTGGACTTCTGTGTAATTTCAATATTTAATTTTATTACTATTTTGCAGAAATGTTATTATGCCACAGCCAGTAGAATATCCAGCATTCTTATCCCCAGACCTGAATGTTAGTGTTGGGACTCAAACTCTGCACTCTCCCAACCAGCCATCTGTAGTAAGACTTGAAAAACTTCAACAACCACCTCGGGAAAGGTAAAAAAGTATATAAGTTTGCATCTTACGGGTTATTTGTATAATATGTTAATTTCTCCCTTGAGACATGGGCTTGCTGTTAGTTTAGAAACTTTCATTATGGTGCTATTTCATGAGTTCAGAGATTTTTTCCTGATTTTTACTTATCAAATTTAGGTATTTTGTTTGAAAAGTCAGTGTTAATGGCAAAAAATGAGATGAAAAGTCATTTGTAAAGGAGAAAGCATAATACTTGCTCTGTTTCCTCATTCAACAAGGTATTACATAGGTCTCTTATGCTTTTTTCTGTTTTTCTCCTTTTATCTTCATGCTTTTTTCTCTGATTTATATTCTGGTATACTGTTTCTTCTTTGTTTCTGATCTGCAATTAAACCAATTGAATTCTTAATCTCAGTTATTTTCTTTGTCAGTTTTGGAAGTTTTCTTCATGTTTATAGTTTCCATTCCTCTGCCAAAATCCATAGCCTTGTCTTTTAATTCTTTAGTCTTTTAATTCTTTATTAATCGTTATTTTAGTCAGCTAAGGATGCTATAAGAAATGCCATAGACTGAATGGCTCACAGTTTTGGAGGCTGGGAAGTCCAAGATCTGGATACTGGCTGATTTGGTTCCTGCTAGGGCCCTTTTCCTGGTTTGCTAATGGCTGCCTTTTTGCTGTATCATCACATGGTGGAGAGAGATCATCTCTATCATGTCCCTTACGGTAAGGGCACTAATCCCATTCATGAGGGCTCTACCCTCCTGACCAATTACCTTTCAAAGTCCTCACCTCAAAGTATCATTGCAGAGGGGATTAAGGCTTCAACATATGAATTTTGGGGTACACAAACATTCAGTCCATAGCAGTTATTGCTATTTTAAAGTTCAAGTATGATCAGTCCATTTTCTGGACCTCCAAGTCTGTTTCTATTATTGACATTTTCTCTTAGTTTTCAGTCAAATCTTATATCGTCATATCCCTAGTTGTTTTGATTGAGTACCAGACATTTTACTTGAAAATTTATAGAACTAATTTGAGGCTCTTGATTATAAATGTATATAGTAAAGGTATACATTTGTATCTGGTAGCAGCTAGGGTTACAACACTAGCAATCTCTGATCACCTTAATTCAACTGAAATTTAAATGATTTGAAGCTTGGCTTTAATTCCTGTTGGGGGGGTTAGTAATTATCTGGTTTACTCTTATTCCTAGTGTTAGGACTGAAACTGGTGGGAGGCACAAGAGGCAACCAGGTCATAACATTTAAAGAGGCACTTATTATTTTATAGCCCTTTGGGGTTCCAACTGAAAATATGGATATTTGCCAAGAGTTTCTCACTCTTAGAAAGCCCTGAACTCTGGTTTTTGTTCTCTCACCCTTTTATATCTATCTATCTCAAAGCTCTGCTCAACTTCTTAACCTCTTGGCCACCTCAAGGCACAAATGCTTTGAAGGAAAAATATGCCCCAAATGATGGGCACAATGTTTGTGGACTTCCTTTCTATCTGGAATTTTGGATCTGCAAATACTTGCTGCCTTTATAACACTCTGATACTTTCAAGCAAAATTTTAAAAAATATTCTGTATAGCTTTTTTTTTTTTCTTTTAAGACAGAGGCTCTAGCTGGGCACGGTGGCTCACGCCTGTAATCCTAGCACTCTGGGAGGCCGAGGCGGACGGATTGCTAGAGGTCAGGAGTTCGAAACCAACCTGAGCGAGACCCTCCCCCCCCCCCCCCGTCTCTACTATAAATAGAAAGAAATTAATTGACCAACTAAAATATATATATAATATATAAAAAAAATTAGCCGGGCATGGTGCGCATGCCTGTATCCCAGCTACTCGGGAGGCTGAGGCAGGAGGATCGCTTGAGTCCAGGAGATTGAGGTTGCTGTGAGCTAGGCTGATGCCACGGCACTCACTCTAGCCTGAACAACAAAGTGAGACTTTGTCTCAAAAAAAAAAAAAAAAAAAAAAAAGACAGAATCTCACTCTGTTGCCCTGGCTAGAGTGCTGTGGCATCAGCCTAGCTCACAGCAACCTCCAACTACTGGGCTCAAGCGATCCTGCTGCCTCAGCCTCCTGAGTAGCTGGGACTACAGGCATGTGCCACCATGCCCAACTATTTTTTCTATATATTTTTAGTTGTCTAATTAATTTCTTTCTATTTTTAGTAGAGACGGGTCTTGCTCTTGTCAGGCTGGTCTTGAACTCCTGAGCTCAAGCGATCCTTCCACCTTGGCCTTCCAGAGTGCTAGGTTACAGGCATGAGTCACTGAGCCCAACCTGTACAGCTTTTATGAATGTGGTGAGATGACTGATCTGAAGTACCTAGTCCAGAAGCAGAAATCCTGACCATTTTAAAAATAAGTGTGTGTATGTGTATACATTTTTTCTCAGATTTATAAATATATTCATAAACATAAGCTGACATGACCAAGGAACCCTTTTTTCTCTAGTCTGTGTATCCATTCAACAAACATTTATTGAATGCTTAGTATATGCCAGGCATTACTCTAGGTACCACACATACAATCGGTGATTTTTAAAAGCATAGTATTTTCTCAAAGCACTTACAGTATTATTGAATAGAGACAGAAAAAGTAACCAAGATACATATTAAATTATAAATTAGAAATAAATTATGAAGTATTAAAAAAGATGGTAAAAAAAAGATGACTAATTTTTATAAGAATCGTCAGGAGACATTTGTGTTAACATTAAAGGAAAGGAAGATTAACATACCAAAGATCCAGAGGTGAGGAATTACTGGTGTGAATATGTGTGAAAGTTCTAAGATAAAAACGGTTTGGCATATGCCTAGAAGCAGCAGCCACCCAGTGTAGATGGAGTAGGAAGTAGGGGGAACGTGGATTGAGACAAGATGGTAGAGACCAGATTATTCAGAGCCTTTTTAGACCGTTATTGGATTTTATTCTAAGAGAATAGGAGCTATTCTAGGTTGTATATTACTTTTTAAATATAACCATTAATAAAACAAAATAGATTTATCTATAATATTATATTAATGTAAATTATATATAGCATAATATATGCCATCAACCCGTACCTAACCTAACCTGGAACCTAAACAATATGGATGTTTGTATCTATTATGATTTTCTCCCCTATCTCATCCTTTTATCTATTTCTCAGAAGTTAACTACTTCTATGGATTTTATTTTATTTCTTGCCTTTGGAAAATTGCTTTTAAAAAGATCATTTTATGTAGAGTGCTTAAATAATAATCATTATTTGTTTTTGCTTACATTGCTCACTATTATGTTTGTAAAATTCATCTATGCTGTTTCATGCATTCCAATTTATGAATATGCTGCAATTTATTTCATTTATTTATTAATGATCATTAGTATACTACCTTTCTGTTGCTGCTTCAAAATGATCACAAACTTAATTGTTTAAAACAACTCTCTTTCTCATAGTAGGTCAGAAGTGGGGCAGAGTGTGAATGGATTCTCTGTTCACAGATTTCACAAGGCTAAAATGAAAGTGTTGGCCAGCAGCATTATCATTTGCCCGATCATGGCATAGAAGTTTGCTTCTTCAAGGCCACAGGAAAATCTCTGCTCATACTTAAAACGTCTCTCTTCATAAATGGCTCAGTACCTTTTCAAATGACCTTAATAAGATCATGCTTACTCAAGATACTGTTCTTTTGATTAATTCAAAAGTGAACTGATTTGGAACCTAAATTACATCTGCAAAATTCCATCACTTTTGTCAAATGATGTAGCCTAATCATACACATAAAATCTGTTATATTCAGACACACACACACAAGGAAGTCATTATGTGAGGAATGTATAACAGGTTGGAATTTTTAAATTAATTTATTTATTATTATTATTATTATTTTGGCATATTATAGGGGTAATTTTAAGGTTTCAATAAATGCTATTGATTTTGTATCCTGAGACTTTACTAAATTCATTTATCAGTTTCAGGAGTTTTTGGTTGAATCTTTGGGATTTCTAAATATAATATCATATCATCAGCAAACAGTGAAAGCTGTCTCTTCTGCCCTATTTGGATACCTTTAATTCCACTTTCCTGTCTGATTGCTGTAGCCAGGACTTCCAGCACTATGTTGAATAGAAGTGGAGATATTGGGCAGCCTTGTCTGGTTCCAGTTCGAAGTAGAAATGCTTTCAGTTTTTCCCCATTCAGTATGATGTTGGCTATGCATCTGTCATATATGGCTTGTATCATTTTTAGGTATGTTCTTTCTATGCCTATTTTATTAAGTGTTTGTATCATGAAAGGGTGTTGAATTTTGTCAAAAGCTTTTCCTACATCTATTGAAAGAATCATGTGGTCTTTGTTTTTGCTTCTGTTTATGTGGTGAATTGCATTTATAGATTTACGTACGTTGAACCATCCCTGCATCCCAGGGATGAAGCCCACTTGGTCGTGATGGATTATTTTTTTGATAAGCATCTGGATTCAGTTAGCTAAGATTTTGTTGCATCTATATTCATTAGGATATTGGTCTGATAGTTTCTTTTTTTGTTGCATCCTTTCCTGGTTTTGGTATCAGTAATATTCACTTCATAAAAGGTGTCGGGGATGTTTCCATTCTTCTCGATGTTGTGGAATAGTTTCTGCAAGATAGGTACTAGTTCTTTGTAAGTGTGGTAAATTCGGTGTGAAACCATCTGGACTGGGACTTTTCTTTTTAGGGAGATTTTAATTGCTGTTTCTATTTCAGCTCTTTGAGCTTGGTCTGTTCAAGAAATCTTATTCTTCCTGGTTGAGCTAGGGAGGCTGTGTGTTTCTAGAAATTTAGTCCATTTCCTCCACATTTTCCAGTTTGTGTGCATAAAGATTTTTGTAGTATTCATAAATTATCTGTTGTTATCAACTCCCAAAGGAGTTGATAACTTGTCTCTCCATTGTCATTTTGTTCATAGAATCTTTTTATTTCCATCTTGATTTCTTCATTTATGAGGTAATCATTTAGTAGGAAGTTGTTTAATTTCCACATTTTTGTGTAGAAA